AACCGACGCCAAACTACAGGTTTGGCCTGCAAGTGGAGACAGGAGTCTTTTACGCCCGGCCAGCTCAGCCCATGCCAGCGTCCTGCACGCTCTTGTGGCACAGCCCCGGAACTCATTTAAACACGTGTTTACCAGGAGACACAGACCAACAGATAACCAGCCCAATGTGAACACAGAACTAGTACTCTTCAATTCACGACTCAGACCACGAGAACCAGCTCCTCCCAAACACACAGGACACAACGGCCACAGCTTCGGCTCAGTGCAATGCAAACGCACCACCACCTCCGCCACCTGGGCAAACGAGGGGTGGAAAGTTTCAGCCCACATCAGTGGCAACACAAAGGAGCCCAGAAAATGTGTCCCATCTTAAAGCAGCACAGCTCACTACTGTCACCTCGAGTATTTCACCCAGCAACAGCCTCAACTGGGAATCCAGCATGAGCACTCAACCCTAACAGGGAGCACTGCGTGCCAGAGTCCTCACCTCCCAATGAAGACGTGGACCACGATACTCTCCGAACCCAGGAAACAGAGACACGAGTACTTAACCCAAGGCTATTCCTCACCAGGGTAAATCTTAGTCACCAGGACTACGACCAAGGGTACTCTCCGAACCAGGACAGAGACACGAGTACTAACCCAGGCTGTCCCTCACCAGGGTACTCAGTCCATAGGACCTAGACCAAGGGTACTCTCCGAACCAGGACACAGACACGAGTACTAACCCAGGCTGTCCCTCACCAGGGTACTCAGTCCATAGGACCTAGACCAAGGGTACTCTCCGAACCAGGACAGATACAGGAGGACTAACCCAGGCAATCCTTCACCAGGGTACTCAGTCCATAGGACCTAGACCAAGGGTACTCTCCGAACCAGGACAGAGACACGAGTACTAACCCAGGCTATCCCTCACCAGGGTACTCAGTCCATAGGACCTAGACCAAGGGTACTCTCCGAACCAGGACAGAGACACGAGTACTAACCCAGGCTGTCCCTCACCAGGGTACTCAGTCCATAGGACCTAGACCAAGGGTACTCTCCGAACCAGGACAGAGACACGAGTACTAACCCAGACTGTCCCTCACTAGGGTACTCAGTCCATAGGACCTAGACCAAGGGTACTCTCCGAACCAGGACAGATACAGGAGGACTAACCCAGACTATCCCTCACCAGGAGTATTCACCCCTCTAGGACCTGGACTTGGAGAAATCTCTGAACCAGGGCACAGACACGGGTACTCACCTGCTATGTCCCTGACTGATGTCAGCCCTGTATTCCCTTGTGGCTTGTTCAGTGACCGTGTCTGGAAGAGACTGGGGGAGGCTGGCAGGGAGGGACTTGAGCTCTGGGTGCCTCTGCTGCTGCTTCTGCCCTGCAGGCCTCCCTGAAGGGCTACGCTGGGTGTGGTTGGAGTTGTGAGTATGGAGTCTGCTGTGATTACAAGGGAAGTTGTTGATATTTGTGTAGAAAAGAAGTAATTAGAGTGAGTTTAAGAGTGTCCTCTTAACACTGGTTTTCCCAGTACCCACGTCCTGGGACGGGAGTGGAAAGGAAAGGCAGGCCCTGGCAGCCCCGGTCATTTCCTGGGACACGGGACAGAAGTGTGAGGTCTGAGTCCGCACCCACTTGGGCCTGAGCTGCGCTGCTTGTCCTCTGGAATTCAGCCGTCTGCAGATCTGTGGCCGGGGGGATGCAGCCTGGGGTCTGGGGTCCGGGGTCCATGCAGGACCGTCTGTGGGCAGCCATGTCTGTGCTCAGGCTCTGGCCCTGCAGCCCCCAGGAGGCCTGGACAGCCAGCGTTGGGTGGTGGGAGCTGCCCTGGTGGGCCCCAGCTCACCTAGCAGCCCTCCCTCTGGGCCCAGAGGAGCCGGCACGGTGGGCATGAGGGGCTTGTCTGGCCGCTGAGCCCCTGCAGCCTGACCTGTCTCACTGGGAGACACTGGTCTTCTAACTGTGGCCCAAGGGACAGGCCTCTCACGTGTGCCAGGCCCTCCTATGCCCCTCCTGCTCCGCCTGCCCTGAACAACCACAGCACTCGGATGCCTGCTCACACTTGGCCCCAGGGACCCTCCAAATTGGCTTCTCTGTCCCTGTCCCCAGTAGCCTCCCCGGATGCGCACCAGGCCCCACCACTACTCCACCACTGACCTGGCCTCACAGCACTTTGTCTGTCCTCACGGGGTGCTCACCCTGTTCTCTCCCCACCTCCTCTGTCCCCTGCCTCCCTGCGCACATGCTGCCCCTGCAGACATAGGGCCGGCCTCCACCTGCCCAAGGTACCCCCACCCCACCCGCCTCAAAGGCCACAGAACAGTCTTTGGCCTTGAGTACGGCAGGCAGGATTTCCACCCCAAGCTGCCTGTGCGGTAATGGCTCTGCGGAAGCCTCTGGGCTTGAGTGCAAACCCTGGCAGTGCAGTGGAGGGGAAGTGTGACGAGGTGAGACACAGAGGAGCAGGGTCCACGGGGGACACGGGGGAGCAGGGTCCACGTGAGACACAGGGGAGCAGGGTCCACGTGGGACACGGGGGAGCAGGGTCCGCCTGGGACACGGGGGAGCGGGGTCCACGGTCCGCACGCAGTGAACACACCCACTGTTCCACCTCAGGCCTATGCTGGTCCCAACAGCATCCCCTGAGAAATGCAAGCACCAAGGGTCAGGGGGCAAGTGGCAGGACTGGTCAGGCACCATCTGGGGACTGGGTAGGTGCGGAAGTGCCCGTTGCAGCCGGTCTCTGCATGTGGGGTGCACTCACCACATCAGGGCAGGGCCCCAAGCTCCTTCCAGGGTCCCCACACAGGCTTCCTGCAGCTGCCATCAGTTCTGGTCAGGCAGGTGGAGCCTGTGGGCCCCGACCCAGACCCTTCCCCACAGAACCTGTGGGGGCTTCTTAGCTGCCCGAAGCCCCTGCAGGGGTAGCTCATTCAGAAACAGAGCTGCCCAGATCTGAGCCCTGTCAGGGCCCTCACGGGAGATGCAGCAGACGCCACTGTGTGTGTGTCTCCCAGGACTGGAGGCCTCCTCAGCTAGGACCGCTCCAGAGAAGAACTGTCAGGGTCTGGAGGCACAGGCGGCCTCTGCTTCCTAGTCCTTTAAGCTGACTAAAGTCATCACGGTGTTGCTGTGTGGTAGGTGACACACCAGCACAGAGGCAGGGCGGAGGGGCCGCCTCACGCTGTTCCTCTGAAGAGCATGCACACACATGCACACTTACCCTCAAACACACGTGCATGTGCGCACACAACTCCCACAGAGGGACCTGCACACCACACAGGCACACACTCTCACACACACGTTGCACACCACACAGGCACACACTCTCACACACACGTCAACACCCACACAACCCACATGCCACTCACAAACATACAGGCACACAAGCACACCCACACAGGCTGGCGTGCACCCACGCTCCAGCCCATCTGACACGAGGACACACAGGCATACACACCCGCACAGGCCACTGTGCACGCACCCACCCTCCATCCCATCCAACACGCAGGCACATGGGCACACACACCCGCACAGGCCAGCGTGCACCCACACTTCATTGCATCTGACACGCATACACACGAGCATGCCCACACAGGTCGGCACGCACCCACGCTCCATCCCACCCGACACGCAGGCACACGGGCACACTCAAGGAAGGAAGTGGCACAAAAGTCAGATGCGAAACGTGGGTTTGGCTCTGGCTCCGTGGTCTGGTGGAAGCTGACGTTGAGCCAGGAGCCCTTTGGGGTGGTCGGGCTGTGGATGTTTATGCTCCAAAACGTTACGTGCAAATGGATATGGCCCAACACCGGTCCCAAGTGGACTCACGAGGCTAAGTCAGTATAGAAACACACAGAGGTTTAATGTTTAATGTTGACTTTCTTTGGTTGAATGATGGGAGGCCTCTCTGCTCAGCCAGGAGCACTGAGGGCAGAAAGTTCATGAGGGGCTGGAGGGGCCAGGCAGAGCAGCCTCACCCCGGGATCCAGGACACAGAAGGGGGCCACACGCTCAGGTGTCCCTCTACCCCCATCTAGGGTGAGAAAAACACACGGGGATGTTATTAACCAGCCTCACAAAGAACCAACGATGCCAAGACTGTATTTTTGTGTGGACAGTTCTGCACCTACAGTGTGTACACAGCACAGCGTGGGGATTCGGGTTCACACCAGCTACGGAAGCAGGTGAAAAGGTGAGGCGGAGGCAGAGCTGCCTGGCAGTCATCCGGTGGCCCGTCTAGTTGACCTGTAAGGACACATAGGGTTTGCTGGGAGGAGCACACTGTGGGTTGCAGCGTCGCGGTCAAGTTTACCAACACCCCGGGAAGTGGGGCTCCTCATACTCACATACTGAGTGCCTCCAGAGAGCCCTTCCACTGAGCAGGTGCCGGGAACACTCCCCAACACCCCTCTTCGCGGAGGTGCACGTTAGGGAGGCTCTGCGCCTGGTGAGACCTGCCGACCGGATAGCAGAGTGCACCCACGAGTCTGCTGGCATTGATGTTTGCAGGGTGAAACACTCTCCAATGAAAACCCAGTGTGTGGGCGGCTGGAAAACACACCGCTACGTGTATGCACACATGTGCATGGCAGGTGCATGCGTGTGTTAACTATGTGTGCACACCTGTATGTGTGTGACATGCACGTGTGTGTGTGCATGTATGCAATATGCACGTTTGTGTGTATGTGACATGCACGTTTGCGTGCATGTGTATGCATGTGATATGCACATGTGTTTGTGTGTGCACATGTGTATGTGTGTGATATGCACGTGTTTGTGTGTGCGTGTGCGTGATATGCACGTGTTTGTGTGTGTGCATGTGTATGTGTGTGATATGCACGTTTGTGTGTGTGTGAGATATGCACGTGTGTGATATGCACATGTGTTTGTGTGTGTGCATGTGTATGTGTGTGATATGCACGTTTGTGTGTATGTATATGTGTGTGATATGCACATGTGTTTGTGTGCATGTGTGTGTGTGGGTGAACACGTGTCACAGACAAGGAGGGACGGAGGGAAAACTGTGTACAGTTTCACACCCACGGCCCTCTGGACTCCCTTCCACCAAGGGACGGGCCACTTGCTTTCACAGAAGGCTTGTTGTCATCCACATCTGTCCTTTGAGTCAGGGCTTGGTGCCCAGATGTTCATGGAGATGAGAAAAAGGGAAAGGAATTTTGTCCATGAGAATGTCCCGTCTGCCAGCCCCTCTTCTTTTTGGAATAAACCTTGTTGCCAAGTGCCTATACTGGAGTGGAATCCAGTCCCAACAGTGGCTGGTTTTGGAAGTCGAATCTTCACTAACGGATGTCTGGGCATCTTCCCAAGGCTTGGGCCCCTGAGAGCACCCCACTGGCCCTCTGAAGCCGACAGCCATCCCCAAAGTCCGGAGCGCGGCTGCAGCCCGCAGCATCCGTGGTGCTCTCAGCCCTGCAGGGCTGGGGCTGTGACAAGGACAAGGTTGACAGGGGACACTGAGTGGGCAGAGGTGTGCAGGGGTCCCGTGAAGCTGCAGGGGTGGCTCAGACACACGACAGCAGTGGGTCCCAAGGGTTCTGCCCAGGGTGAGAATGCTGGGGACAGACCTGCCACCACCACCCCTGGAGCAGAACGCAAGACACACACATTGAACACTGGGAAAGGTCAGGGCAGCCCCCTGCTGCGATCTCGGCCCCGCCTGGCCACACCAGGGGAAGCCAGGACTCCGTGGACGGCATCTCGGGCAGGGCCACGCTGGGGTCTGGGTGGGTCCTTTGATGGAAGCCCCTGCTCTGCCTCTGGGGCGCCCCAGGACTGGAGGCCACAGGACAGAAACCAGATGACCTTGTGCAGGGAGGAGCACGTGGAACTGGGATAAAAGGAGTGGGCGTGGCCCAGAGCTTTTCCCCGCTGAGGTCTTTCACAAGGAAGGGGCAGGGGTGTGAACTGCTTCTGAAAGGTGGGGTCACTTTGGTGCCCCCAGTGACCTCATGTGGCAGATGGGCCCCCCACTCTGCTCTGAAGCTCCTCCAGGAACACTGTGTCCCCTGCTCCGCCTACACCGTAGTTTCATTTTTCCAGGGTCCTGTTCGGATGTTGCCGGTCCCATCGGTGCCAAACGGCAGGTCTTCTAGCAAGTTACCCTTGGGCAGCCCGTTCTGGCTGGGGCCACCAAAGGGCAGGGACTGTGTCCTCCGCAGCATCTCCAGGTGACCAGGCCCAAGCGCTGCCTCCCTGCCCGGCCGCGTGGGGCAGCTGTAGAGGGCAGGGCTCCCATCGCTGCCCTCAGGCTGGCTGACCATGGGGAAGGGGTCACCCTGGGCGCAGCAGGCCAGCGTGTGTGCCCCTGCCGGGCCATCCAGAGAGCTGGGGGGGCTGTCTGTGCGCGAGCTTTGGGGGCTGCCGTCCAGGCTGGACGGGATGTGGTAAGCGTACTCGGGCTCCTCTGCTGGGTGCCGGCTAAAGTAGGGCGGCTTAGTTCTGCCCTGAAGGCACCCGTGCAGGTGGGGGTCGTGCCCGAAGGCACCCTCCTCCTGCGCGTGCACGTGTGCCTCGTCCGCCATCAGTGGCTCGCCGTGCATCTTGGCGCAGCACGGGGTGGCTGGGGACAGACAACTGGCGTGGCCCTGTGCGGCCTGCAGGTTGGTCATCTTGCAGGGTCCCGGTGGGTGCGCGAAGCCCCGTGGCTGGCCGAGGCCCGGCGAATGCAGGCAGGCGGCACGGCCCAGCGCGGCCCCGTTGGCATCGAGCGCGGAGTGGGCATCCCTGCGGGGTGGGCAGCATGCCCACCAGCACTGCCACACGTCCTCGCGCTTGGCGCAGTGGTGGATGAGCACGAAGAGCCCCAGTGTCACGCAGAAGGCGCCGTACAGGCAGCTGAAGACCATGTCCAGGAAGTGGCCCTGGGACACCGCCAGCGCCCCAAAGGCCCACGTGGCCGTGAACAGGAACAGCGTGAAGGCGGCAGCGCGCAGCTGTGCCTGGAAGGAGTGCTCGTTCTGCAGCACCGAGGCGCCAGGGGCATCGCGTGCGGGTGGGGTGCCGGGCCGGATCCCACGGCTGCCCTCGGGCGTGGCCAGCCGCCGCTGCTCCTCGGGCTGTGCGCGCATCTCGTACCTGCGCCCTGGGTGGCGCCGCAGCTGCACGTAGGTGCCCAGGAAGTACACGCAGGTGACCAGGGCAATGACGGCGGCTGGGCCGTAGAAGGCGCCCAGGCTAGGCTCCCAGGCCATCCAGCAGCTGTGGGGAGACGCACGTCAGCGTCAGCTGGGCCAGCACGGCCAGGACTCAGGACTCAGGACTCCTCCTGCAGAGCAAAGTGTCCCGCACCCGCCCGGACCAGCAAGTGGCTTTGCACAACTGCGGCTTGGGGGCCTTGGGCGCTTCTAGAGTCGCTGACAGTGTGGATGGGAACGAGGCCCTATTGGCCCTACCAGCTTGGGAGGTCGGGGAGCCAGGAAAGTGTCCCAGGTGTGGGCGGAGGTGGAGCCGGGCGGGGGGCCAGGTGCAGGGGGGCCTGGGTGGGCAGGAGCAGGGACAGAGCCAGGTGGGTGGGGCCGGTGTGGGGTGGGTGGGGCCAGGAAGAGGCAGAGCTAGGTGGGCGGGGCTGAGCAGAGGGCAGCGCTGGAGGGGTGGGGCCAGGCAGAGGGTGGAGCCAGGTGGGCATGGCCGGCGTGAGGTGGGCGGGGTCAGGTGGAGGTGGAGGTGGAGGTGGAGGTGGAGGTGGAGGCGGGTGGGCGGGGCCAGGCGGAGGGCAGGCGGGCGGGCCATCCTGGGGCCGCAGAAGGAACTGAGGGCCTGAATCAGGGGTTCCAGGCTGGCTCTGGGCACCGATGGCGGGACGGCTGGGTTCGTTCTACTCTATGGGGTTTCCCTTCTCAGCTGAGCTCCATGCTGCTGCCAAATCGCTATTTGTCCCCAGGCCCCTCCCATAGAAGGCTAACCAGGCCTGACTCATCCAGAGGCAAAGATTAGGTTGGGGTCCCTGGGAGAGGAGGGGGCACTGCGCACTCCTCGGGGGCGGGAGCTGGGAGGGGCGCAGCTCTGGGCGAGCCCCAGGTCCAGGCCCAGGCCTTGCTGCTTCGTCCTGGTCTCCCCCACTGCAGGTGTCCGGGAGGGACCTCGGACAGAGCCCACCCGCTGCTCCCAGCTCCCAGCTCTGGGCACCCGGTACTCACTACGCCGCGTCCTCGTCCTCTGTCCCGTAATTCCTGATGTTCGTGGCAGCGGTGACCCCACAGATGATAAAGGGGACCCCTCCACTGACGAGGTAAAACCTGCCGGAGAGGAAGGCGCTGACCCCCTTGCAGACGCTGCCTGCATCTTCCGGGGACAGCGCTGTCCTTCCCCCACTCCGCCGGGCAAGGGAGAGCGGCGGGCGCGGGCGGAGCAGGAGGGGACCAAGACTCCCGACCCCCGACCGCCGACCGAGCAGCCTGTGCCGGCCTCGCCTGGCCTCCCGCGGGCCTCTGCGCCGGGAGAGAGCCCTGGCCAGGTCCCGGAACAGGTGGGCCCCGGGAGAGCTCTGTTAGCTGCTGATTTCTCTGCAGCTGCAGGGAGCCCCTGGCTGCAGGCGGGACCGCTCCCCGGGGCGGCGTGGGGTCACACAGGGAGCTGCATGTCCCACTGAGTCTCCAGGTCATGGCCCCTCCCCACGGGTAGTGCGCGTGGCCAGTGACCCGTGGTGCCCCGTTTTAAACAGTTTTAAAGCCCCGCTTAGCCTCAGGGGAAGAGGTTCAGAGGGCGGAAGGCTCTGCTCCCTGTCAGACCCAGGAACCCTGCCTTGGAGGGGCAGTCTCATCCTGACAGGCACAGCCCAAGCCCAGGGCAGGGGCTGACCTTCCCCTCTGCAGGGCCTGGCAATCGTGCTGAGGGCACCCAGGGGTCCATGCATGATGCTGTGTGTCCCGGACCAGGTGCATTTGCTCACCGCCTCCAGCCCCTGGCCTGACCCTGGCTGCCGGCCCTATGGAGCATGCGTGACCTAGGGGCCAGCTCAGAGACCATCCCCCATGGGTGCTGTCTCCCCGGCTGCTGGGAACACCCAGGTCGGCCACGGACCCCTGCCCCACGTGTTCAGTGGGCTCCAAGGTGCAGGGGTGGGAGGGGTGGCCCTGGGTCTGGTAGTTCTCGGGGACCCCCTAGGAAACCTGTGCTTCCCAGACTCTATATCCCAAGATTTCCTTCAGAAATAAAGACAAAATAAAGACATTTTCTGATAAAAATAAAACTAAGAGCACTTGCCATGTATGGACCTGTATTTCAGGAAATGCTAGCTGAAATTATTCAGGGTGGAGGGGTAGTGGACCCTTCCGCAGGCACCGCACCTGTGGAAAACCCTAACCAGACCTGCACGGTAGGCCTTGGGCTGGGGGTCCATGCTGTGGACTTCATCAGAACAGCAGGGAGCCCCTGGGCTGCTTGGGGGAACTTGGACTGTCCGGAAGGAAGGAGGACACCAGAAACGCTGAGGGATAAATAGAAAAGCTTTGTCTCCCCCTTCTTAATTTCCTCCCTCTTGCAATGACTGTTTCAAGAAAGAACTTGAGCACCGCCTTGTGTAGGGTACGTGGGGATGGTGCTGTGCCCAGCATCTGTGGGAGGAAAGGTGGGAGGCAGGAAACAGTCCTATACAGTTGCAAGTTTTCTATAAATGTGTTATATGAAGAGAACAATTTTACTCTACATAGGATGTGGAAAGGTGGATTTTAATCCCTTAGAGCAACCATATGAAACTAGGTAAAAACTAGACTGGATGCGGTGGCTCACGCCTGTAACCCCCACACTTTGGGAGGCCAAGGTGGGTGGATCACCAGGTCAGGAGATTGAGACCATCCTGGCTAACACGGTGAAACCTCGTCTCTACTAAAAATGCAAAAAATTAGCTGGGCGTGGTGGCGGGTGACTGTACTCCCAGCTACTAGGGAGGCTGAGGCAGGAGAATGGCGTGAACCCAGGGGGCAGAGGTTGCAGTGAGCCGAGATCGCACCACTGCACTCCAGCCTGGGCGACAGAGTGAGACTCCGTCTCAAACAAACAAACAAAAAAAACTAAAAGATACATTAAAACGAAATTTTAAAAAATGTTAAAATAATCCAAAAGAAGGAAGTAAAGGAGAAGTGGAAGAATTCCAAAGAGCAAAACAATCACTTAAAGTGGTAAAAACAGAAAACAAAGAGTAAAATGTAGACTAAATCCAACCAAATCAAAATTCCAATTAATTTTAGCAAGCTAAAAGCTCCAATCCAAAGGCAGAGATTATCAGGATGGATAGTAAGCTCCTGGAACATGGTGACTAGAATAGAAACACTGAATATAAGACACAAGTAGGTTGAAAGTAACTGGATGGAAAAAGCCATGCAATGCCAACTGTGAGATTAAGAGAGCTACAGCGGTTATACCGATGCCAGGCAAAGTCGATGATAAGACAGTGAGATAGAGGGGCCCATGGGATGCAGAAGTGTCCGGGATGGACCCACGGCACACAGTTGTGGTGCGGGACGGACCCACGGCGCACAGTTGTGGTGCGGGACGGACCCACGGCGCACAGTTGTGGTGCAGGACAGACCAGAGACAGTCCTTTGATTTTCTGAGAAGACATCCAACCACCCCAGTGGATGGGAAGCAGGAGAAACCTGCCCGACGCTGTCACCCAGTCAGTCTGGCGGTTTGTTCCTGCCGAGCGGGGCGGGGGCCCGGGAGAAATAAAGACCAATGTCTTTCTGAAGGTGAAGACAGGGAGGAGTGAGCCGCACATGACTTTGGCAAAGAGTTGGCTGTGAAGCCCACAGGTGGCAAAACAGGACATGGAGTGGGAAAGCAGACCCAACTTCTTATAGAGGCCACGGGCACCCGGCCGGGACAGTCCCATCCAGAGCTTGTTCTAGCAGGGCCTGGGCTCAGCTGTCCACACCCGGCCGGCCTGTGATGTCAGCACGGGCACCTCTGCTCTGCTCCCACAGTCAACGGTGGCACAGAAAGCCCCCAGGGTCCTGCTGCTGCCAGGCACAGGGATCCCCTAGACCCCGCTCTGGACACACAGGAGGCCACTGTCTCCGAGCCAGCCCTCCACCCTCTGCAGGAGACGGAGCTACAGGTTCTGGCCTTGAAGTCCCCTTTGGCATCCTCAACAGGCACAGCTGTGACAGGGATGGCTCAGGGCGCGCTTTGTGCAGCAAGGCCAGCCCGCCACGCTCCTCTGTGGCCCGTGGCCCCAGTTACCCACAAGGAGCCGGCAAGAAGGCCTGCAGCAGTGGCCTCTGCGCGTCCAAGGCTGGATGATGGAGCAGCTGACGTGTCCCAGAAGCCCCGCCTGGGTCTGGCCAGACGATGCAGCACCGTGAGCTCCCCTGCCTTCCTGTGGCTGCAGGTCTTTTCCTGAGGACCCCAGTGTCCTGCAGCGGGCGTGGAGAAGCTGCTGGCAGCTGCTCAGAGGACACGCCGCCCGCTGCAGCCTGTGGGAGGGTCTGTCTGTGCCCGGCCGGCCGTCTCCAAGCTGCCTGCCCGGCCCTGCCTGCCAGGACCACCGGCTCCGGGTTCCGTCCCGGCGCGCAGCGCAAGTCGGCCGGCAGAGGGCGCTGGAGGCCGCCGCTTTTCTCGCCGCCGCCGCTGGGCAGTGACTGCCGTGGACTCGCAGGCGCCGGGCTGGGGCGGGGGCGGGGGCGGGGCGGGGGGCTCTGCTGGGTCCAGCATCCACCAACCACCGCCCGACGTGGGCCGCTCACAACCGCCTCAGCCCACCTGTGTCCGGGGAGTGGTTCCTGCCCATCTGGCAGCTGGGAACACCCTCTCCTATGGCTCCGAGCCCCAGTCAGGGTGGGGATCCAGCTTGTCCTCCTCCTCTGGGCGCTGACGCGTCTGTCACTCAAGCGTCGTATTCTGTTACCTAGAATTCCATCTAAACCCCAGGTGGACGCTGGGCGTCGAGGAATGTCCAGCCACCCCTCTGTGCCCGGGTCCCAGCATCGGGACAGTGGCTCGCCATGCCAGGCCACTCACTGGAACATCTCCGGGTTACATGATTTCCGGGGCTCAGGCCAACGCCTGCGTTAGACGAAGGTTTCTAGAGAGGGAGGGCGGATCTGAATCTCGATGAAATCCTAATGGCTTCCCCTTGGGAGCTGTGAACCTGACCCAGAGGTGTCCAGAGGAGCAAAGCAGGAGCTGACTTACGGCAGAGCACATTGCTCAGAGGCCGGGGAGGGTGGCCTGGCTGGGGAGGGTGCAGAGCTGGGGAGGGTGCAGAGCTGAGGAGGGTGGCCTGGATGGGGAGGGTGCAGAGCTGGGGAGGGTGCAGAGCCTGAGAGGGTGGCCTGGAAAGGGAGGGTGCAGAGCTGGGGAGGGTGGCCTGGCCGGGGAGGCTGCAGAGCCCAGGACCAGCCCTGAGTGCACCGCCACGTGACCCAGGGCCAAGTGAGGGAGGAGTGACCATCAGTGCCAGGGCAGGTAGATGAGCGTTGCACAGGAGAACAGGAGCTCCGTCCTATGTCGACTGAATAACGCCCCCAGATATCCATGTTCTCTTCCCTGAAACCAGTGAAGGTTTCACCTCACACGTCAAGAGGGACATTGCAGGTGCGGTTAAATGAGCGATGGTGAAGGGCGGAGACTGTCCTGGGTTGTTTGGCTGGACTGACAACATCACCGGGGTCCTCTTAAGAGGGAGGGCAGAGATCCCAGTGGAGAGAAGATGCAGGGCTGCTGGCTTTCAGGGTGGAGGAGGCCCCAGGCCCAGGAGTGATGGCGGCTGAGGCAGCCCCAGAAGGTGCCGGGGGAGGGAGGCAGCCCTGCCCACACCTCGATATCGGTCCAGCGGGGCCCATGTTGGACTTACGGCTCTCGACTGTCGGATGATCCCCCTGAGTTGCTTTATACACTGAGCTTGTGGTGCGGCCCCAGCGGTGCGTGAACCCTAGCCACTCACAGCTACAGGATGGACATGCTGCTGCTCACGGCGGGTGACTGGGGAGCCTCGGGGAGGAGCCATGGTGCGGATGTGGCATGAGGATGGGTGCCTTAAACCATCCACAGAAGCATGTGCCCCGCCTGGGTGCTGCCGGCTCTGTGATCCCTCCTGACACACTTGCCCGCTGCTGATTGGAGCCGATGGTCAGAATCAACGTACGCTGGGACATGGGGAAACGGAGCAAGGATTCAGACCATGGGTGTGGTCCCGCCACGGCTCGGTTCCCGCCATGGCTGACATTTCACACCTCTCCCCAGGTGCAGTGGCACCATCAAAGCCCGAGCGAAAAGGTCCCGGACCCAGGTGCCACCC